TAAGGAATCTCCATACTGTTCTCCATAGTGGCTGTATCAATTCACATTCCCACCAACAGTGCAGGAGGGTTCCCTTTTCTCCACACCCTCTCCAGCATTTATTGCTTCTAGATTTTTTGATGATGGCCATTCTGACTGGTGTGAGGTGACACCTCGTGGTTTTGGTTTGCATTTCTCTAATGATTAGTGATGTTGAACATCTTTTCATGTGTTTGTTGGCAATCTGTATGTCTACTTTGGAGAAGTGTCTATTTAGGTCTTCCGCCCATTTTTTGATTGGGTTGTTTGTTTCTTTGCATTGCGCTGCATGGCCTGCTTGTATATTTTGGAGATTAATCCTTTGGCAGTTGCTTCATTTGCAAATATTTTCTCCCATTCTGAGGGTTGTCTTTTTGTCTTGTTTATGGTTTCCTTTGCTGTGCAAAAGTTTTTAAGTTTCATTAGGTCCCATTTGTTCATTTTTGATTTTATTTCCATTACTCTAGGAGGTGGGTCAAAAAGGATCTTGCTGTGATTTATGTTAGAGTGTTCTGCCTATGTTTTCCTCTAAGAGCTTTATAGTGTCTGGCCTTAACATTTAGGTCTTTAATCCATTTTGAGTTTATTTTTGTGTATAGTGTTAGGAAGTGTTCTAATTTCATTCTTTTACATGGAGCTGTCCAGTTTTCCCAGCATCACTTATTGAAGAGGCTGTCTTTTCTCCATTGTATATTCTTGCCTCCTTTGTCAAAGATAGGGTGACCGTATGTGCATGGGTTTATCTCTGGGCTTCCGATCCTATTCCATTGAGCTATATTTCTGTTTTTGTGCTGGTACCACATTGTCTTGATTAGTGTAGCTTTGTAGTATAGTCTGAAGTCAGGGAGCCTGATTCCTCCAGCTCCGTTTTTCTTTCTCAAGATCGCTTTGGCTATTCGGGGTCTTTTGTGTTTCCATACAAATTGTAAACTTTTTTGTGCTAGTCCTGTAAAAACTGCCATTGGTAATTTGATAGGGATCACACTGAATCTGTAGATTGCTTTGGGTAGTATAGTCATTTTCACAATGTTGATTCTTCCAATCCAAGAACATGGTATATCTTTCCATCTGTTTGCATTGTCTTTGATTTCTTTCACCAGTGTCTTATAGTTTTCTGCATACAGGTCTTTTGTCTCCTTAGGTAGGTTTATTCCTAGGTATTTTATTCTTTTTGTTGCAGTAGTAAATGGGAGTGTTTTCTTAATTTCTCTTCCTATCGTTGTTATTGCATAGGAATGCAAGAGATTTCTGTGCATTAATTTTGTATCCTGTTACTTTACCAAATTCATTAATTAGCTCTAGTAGTTTTCTGGTGGCATCTTTAGGATTTTCCATGTATAGTATCATGTCATCTGCAAACATCAGATTATTTTTGATCAGCCCCTACTTAGGCAGGGCAAAACCGCTTGACCTACTGACTCCATCTAGTCTCATTTTCCAGTGGAAAAATAAATTAGTGATAATATAGGGGGAGTGGATTATGTATACATTTGCTCTAGCACTGGAGCATGGATGATTCATATTTGAACCACAATGTATACATGTCTGAGAGTCAAGTTATTGGAAAATTACAGCCCCAGGATACTGTTGATGCAAATAAACTTCAGTATACTCTGTAGGGTTAACCAAGCAACCCACAACAAAATAAACTGATAATGATAAAGCTAAGCTAACTGTAATTCATAATTAAAAAGTACTGAAAGCAGCAATTGCAAATAGCAACCAACTCAAGACAACATTGATGATATCCTGATAAAGAGTCCTTCTCTCACATTTTGGAAACGTCAGTTCTGTGCCTGCGCATGTGAAACTGGACCTTCTCACAGAGTGGACAGGCACTGCCCAGGCATCAGGCTTATAGCAGGATACTGTGGGGTACTCAGTAACCTTTAGCACTTTCTTAGTCAATTTACAAATTAGTAGCCCTAGTAATATGTACAAATGAAAGCTTAATCAAACTGTACATCATTCGCCATAATAATCCAAAGGAGGCCTTAAAAAAAATAAATTCAGTTTAGGGCCCAGAAGAATGTTTCTGGTAATGCCCTCCCTACCCCCCCACCCCCACCCCAGTAGGTACCAGTCTTGATTTTTGAAATCACTGTCTAGGCAACATTACCTCCTTCTGGTAGGGCTTTTGTTTTCTAGCTCATGCAGACCAGAGATGTGCATTTGTATTTATAAAGTACTCATATTCTCATTTTAAACCGTAAGAAGTTTTAATACTCAGTGCAGAATAATCTCCAAGATAGAACATTAAGTGAAAAAAGCAATGTGCATGATACTATGTATAATATGCTATTTATGTTTAAAGAATGATTTTATATGTATGTTGACAAATAATTATATGCTTTATATTGTTGGGGTATCTCTGGAAGTGAATATAAGAAACAGAACAAAATAGTTGCTTCTGGGGACAGGTACTGGCTGCTGGGGGAGGGGAGGGAGAGGAAGTAGGTTTTTCACTAGATACCCATTCACACTTTTTAAATTTTGTACCATTTATACATCAACTATTAAAAAAATCAATGAATTTAAATTTAGAAAAGAGGAAAAAGGGGAAAAAAGGACCCAGTGAGCCTACAGAGACTTGATTCTTGCCTCAGCTTTTCTTCTTTCTTTTAAAAGAGATGAGGGTTAAGTTTGGTTTACTTGTTTCCTGATGCCTTTTACCCCCCTTCAAAAACATAGTCATGTATTACGCAGAAGGTTCCAGAATCTAAACAAAACCTCTAAATGAGATGGCAGCGTTATAAAACCAGGCCCAAGCCCTGGGATTCTGGACTGTGGCGAAGACCTCAGTCTCAAAACACAATTTTCTGATAAATTAGACCTGCTATTAAAAATGTTTCCGAGTGTTCTGATGGGTCTTCATACAGTATATTTGTAAAATATAAAAAAAGAATGCTCTTAATAAGGCCACTTGTCCACTGTCCACTTGCAGCTTGAATGTAAGAAAATAACACAAAAAAAGGAGACAAAATTCGTAGAGCAAAGCACGTTTAAATGAATGCATTATTTATTTCATCCTGCCTTAGTATTGCTCAAGGAGACAAAGCAATTATTTATGTTGATTTGCTATCAGGAATTTAAAAGAGAGCAAACAAATATCACAGTATTTAGTGTTTCCTAATGACAAATGAAATATTTCACTAATTATGTAAAAAGAATTGTATACTTTTCCACAAATTGACACAGAGAGTACATTTTCTTTCTATCTTTAATGCTCATTATGCTGAGTAATACTTCTTTCTTAGAGCAAAATCTCCCCAGAAATAGGTAGTATATCGAAACTGTATGGGTTCTGAGTGACTGCAGCTAGACCATAGCGTAAGAAGTGATGAAAAGCTGGAAGGAATGTTTTGGACATGATGGGAGGCCTCCCTCTGGGTGGTGTAGACAGAGATCACAGTGAATTCCTCAAACTAGGGATGGGCTTTGGGCAATTGGGCCTAAAGTAGTGACAAAGCAGGCATAGACTTCTGGCGGTGGGGATACAGACTGGTGTCCACTGAGCATACTTAGGAAAATTCTATAATGAAGATATAATATCAGTAGACGTTATTAATTATCCCAAAGGCTTGGTCAACTTAGGAGTACAAGTGTTAAGTACCCCAAGCTGCAACCTTCGGTCTAAGGGGGTCCCATGCATACTAAGTGTGCAAGTAAGTATTTGCCCCACGCTTCTTGTCCTCCTAGTCACCCCCACTTCAGCCCCTTTCCTATCCCTCCAGGCCCCGCAGGCTGGGACAACTAGAGCCCTGTATTCCAAACTTGGGTTCACGTAGAGGGGATCCATGTAACCGCAAGCCTGCGGGTAACCCACGCAAGGAAACCACTCAGCTTGGGTCTAAATAACTTACACTTTTCCTCGCCTGAATTAGCCAGTAATTGCATGTGGGCAGACTTAGCCAGAAATGGTCTAAATGATCAATTAGAGGGCAAAAAGGAGTTCCTTTCTTTAAGCTCAAGGGTCCCTGTTGAAGAGCCCTATTTCCCAAGCCCTGCTCGCATGGGCCCGCGCCCAGCTCTCTGTGGTGCCTGGGTATATTGTACATTTGCCTAACGATAGTGAATTGAGGACTTATTTTGTAGGAAAATATAGGGCATTTCCATTACATGCAGTCAAGCAAGAAGGCTGCAAAATGTGCCACTCCATTAATTTTAAACAGAATCCACCCCAAATGTCACCCTGAAACCAGAGTAAGGGGTTATTACAAATCTGAAGGAATTAAGAGTAATTTTCATTTGCGAAGGAGTTGAGGGACATGACTCCTGCCACACACACACTATTAATTGGGTGAAATTTGATTTGCCAATTTCAGTGTGAATCACTGAGCCCTGACCTAGCCTGCCTGGTGGTGAGATCAGGGGGCTCCTGTCTTCTTGGAGGGCACAGGTGCACACGTGTACACACACACACACACACACAAGAATAGAATGTGCAGAGACTGTAATGCAATGGGCTGGTTATTAACACATATGTTCTTCAAAGAAGAAAAACAAATGGCAGCTACTGGCAAGTCATGTAACCTCTCTGAGCCTCAGTTTCCGTATCTGTAAAAGGGGCTGATAACATCTGCTTCAATGGGAGTCATGAGTATTCGTGAGTTTGAGTAGCTCAGAGCACTTAATGTGGTGCCCAGCCCATAGGTTACACCCATTAAATGGTAACTATTATCTTTATTTTCATCTTCTGAGGGCAGGTGGGTGGGTGGGCCCTTGTGCCTAAGTTGGTTCCAAATCACACTGAGGGAAATCTGGACCTGGCACCAGGATGGCGACAACCTTCACAAGCCATTGCAGGGTCAGCTTTAGAGCCTGGGAGGTGTGGGTCAGCCCCCTGAGTTACTGATCATTTCCTTCCTAATCTCAGTTTCCACTATCTCTGGGAATAGAGCAGGCGGACTTGGGAGAGAGCACAGAGCAAGAGACAGGAATAAGCAGGTTAAGGCGGTTCAGGGGATGGTCCAGTCTGCCCCTCACTCCACGTTCCGGTACTTGGTGAAGAGGTTGTACAACACTCGCAGTGTGGATTTCAGGTCGCAGTTGACGATGTCTGCATAGAAAACAAAAAAACACACATTGCTTCAGTGGTGCCACGTGGCCCCAAACTGGCATCGGGTGTCCTCTTCCTTCTGCCACCCACCACGTGCCCAGCATGGTCCTGGGGAGGGTGTCTCCCCTCTCCCACAGGACATCATTCTGTGCTCCTAAAGAGCTAGCTCCCTGTCCTGCTGGAAGAGAAAAGCATCCCCATGAGACAACCAGGGGCAGGTGGGTGTTGAAGGATGGACAGTGTGTGCAGCAAGAATTCAGAGCAGGGGGCAGTGAGGGGCAGAGGTGCTGGGACATGGGCGTCTCATCTCTCACTGAAAGAAAGCAGACCCCAGAGCATGTAGTCTTCACCCTGGAAACAGAATCCCAGGCGAGAGGACCCTGACCCGACTCTGTGCCCTGGGTCTCACCTGTCTCTCAGGGCCCCTCTCCCTCTGCCTTCACCCTGCCCCACAGAGCCAGCCGTAAGGGGTGGCAAGGAGGGGAGGGCCTGCAGCTACACTGGGGGACGAGGTGGTGAGTTAGGAGGACTAAGCTGCCTCTCCCTTAAGACGGGAGGGAGGGCCCCTAAAGGGCAGAGAAGCCCACCCGGCAGGGAGTACTCAGTAGATTATGTGCCATCCGAAAGATTAAGGACAGAGCAAGGCGGCCGGGTTTGAGGCTGGGAGCTGGATTATCTTTTCAGGGGAGTTCCACCGTGGGTCCTGAGCTTTTATACAGCCATTTCCTCCCGCCCTCACTTCCCCTGACCCCTCCCTCTCTTCCTTCTCTTTACTGGTCACCTCCTCTGGCTGCCCCTCTAATCCTCTGTGGACTCCTCTGCCTTCTCCTGCCCCCCAAGGCCCCACCCTGCACTTGCCCCTCTGCACTCAGACCCCTGTGGGAGCGCCTTCCCTGAGGAACTGGCATAGTGCAAACATAAAGAAAGGAACTCTGCCTACTACTTAGGGATGCAGACTGAGGTAATAGAAGGAAAAGGAAAAGTTTAAAAATAAAAAAAGGAAAAAGGCAAAAGCCTGATGACTATACAAGTCAGGAGTGTTGAGGTTTGAAGATTATGTCCAAAAAGGGCAAGCAGAGGGAAGTCTGGGGAGCTGGGATTGCTGTATCCCTTGAGCTGGGTGCTGGTTATATGGTGGCTCGTTGGATACTATTTCACTAAAGTTATTTGAAAAAAACCCTAACTGTGCAGAAGGTCTGATGAAGTAAATGATGTAAGAGAAAATAATAAATGCTCTGGGTTTCAAAGGTGGGAGGCTGAGTCACTGGGAGGGAAGGGACTGGGGGACAATGTCAGGGCTCCAGCAGCAGCGTGGTCAACAGGAACAGGGATCGTCCAGGACCAGCAGAGCGGGAGGCCGGTGGCTCTGGCAGGCTGGGCTGTGGTTCCAGGTCTTAGCCTTGGGACTCTTGCAGTTGTAGCTGCCACAGTCAGGTGTGCCCAGGCCCTAGGCCCCGCAAAGATCAACACCTACTGGGCCATAAGCCAAGGGCCCAGGGCTGGGGAATCTCCTTAGGGCTCCCCAAACCCCTGGGCCCCATCCTGCCTGCCCCCTCCCAGGCCTTATCCCAGTTGTAGACCAACCCTACTCCACCCCTGCTGGGCTCAGACTCTGCTCCAGGCTCTCTTGCTGATAGACCAGGGGCTCAGGGACCACCCATGAGGCCTGGAGCTCAGCTTCCTTTCTGCTCCCATGTTGGTTCGGGCACATATGTGAGCCTCCAGCTTGGACCCTGCCCAGTGGCTGAGCCCTGCTACCTTGCCTTGCTTGAATCACCCTCTGTCAGGTAAGGTCCTATGCCCTCTGGGCTGATTCCTGTCCTCCGCTGACTGCTTGGTGATGAGTGTTCCTTAAATTCCACCCAAGTCGAAGATTAGGAAGTTACCCTAAGAAGGAACTGCTAGAAAGGCAGACAGGGACAAAGGTGAGCTCACTAAGGGAGTGAGCGTGAAGGGGAAGGTAGGCTGACACTGGGGCCACTGCAGCAGGCTCCTAACTGGGTTCCTCAAAGCCTCTTGCCCTCTCCAGTCCATTCTACCCACTGCAGCTAGACTATTTGGCTTCTGGGTATGGTTGTGCAGGATGCACACTGCACAACTCCAGGGCACATCTTCATATTTCCAAGGTATCATTACCACAGACTACAATATAACTCTGGCCCCAGGGATTGTGCAGGTCACAACTTGTATGCCCATACAGCTATTTCACATAAGATAAAGTCCAGAATCCTAATCCATGGTTTTACAAGGCAAAAGCTGACTCCGGCCCACCCTTCCAGTCTCACTTCATGCCACGTTCCCCCTCATTCACTCTGCACTGGTCACAGGGGCTTCCTTTCACACGTCCCAATAGGCTGTGCTCCTCCATCATCTTGGCCTCTGCACGTGCTGTTGTAAACATCTAGATTGTTCTTCCCAAGTAGCTGCCTCCTGATCCTCTTGCAGACCTCAGCTCAAAGCACTGCCTCCTGAGTGAAGCCTTGACACCTGGCCTTGGTGAGGGCACCCTGTCTTATGTTCTCAAACCCCCCGCACTCTTCCTTCATAGCATTCACTCCAGTTCTCAAGCAGTGGTTTGTGTGCTTATCTGATGAAATCTGCCTCTGCTCAGAGTGTGACCAACGTGACTACAGAGAGTTGATCTTGTTTTGCTCCAGTGCCTGGCCCAGTACCTGGCATGCACAGACCTCAAAAGATATTAATAAATAAATGCATGAATGATTTCCCAGTGTCCGGGAAGCCAAGAAAGAATATTCCAGGAAGAGGGGATGACCAATAGAGCCACATGCTCCCAAGAGGGTGAAGAGGGTAAGGGCTGGAAAGAGGTCCCAGGGTACATGGTCCTGCTGGTGGCTTGGGAGAGAGCAAGGCCATGTGCAGGTGGTGGCAAAGTGTTAACAGCAGAATGGGAAGATGAGAGGTGGAGGCAATGGGCATGGGTGCAAAGGATGAACTTGGGAGCCTGAGGAAGGAGAGCTATGGATGGAGGCGGGAGGATTTGCTGTTCCCTTAAAAAAATTTTTTTTTTGCGGTACGTGGGCCTCTCACTGTTGTGGCCTCTCCCGTTGTGGAGCACAGGCTCTGGATGCGCAGGCTCAGCGGCCATGGCTCACGGGCCCAGCTGCTCCGCGGCATGTGGGATCTTCCCGGACCGGGGCACGAACCCGTGTCCCCTGCATCGGCAGGCAGACTCTCAACCACTGCGTCACCAGGGAAGCCCTGTTGTTCCCTTTTAAAGACAGGGGAGTTCTAAGATTGCTAGAGAAAGAAAATGTCCAAGATGGGAGAATGTTTCAAAATGACCATTTAATTTACTCCAATTTATTTTTTTTCTTTTATTGCTGATTTACAGTATAGTTGATTTACAGTGTTATATTAGTTTCAGGTATACAACACAGTGATTCAATATTTTTGTAGATTTTACTCCCTTTAAAGTTATTATGAAACAATGCCTATATTTTCCTATGCTGTACAGTATATCCTTGCTTATTTATTTTAGGCATAGTAGTTTGTTAATCCCCTACCACTATCTTCCCCCTCCCTCATTCCCTTTCCCCCCGATAATCACTAGTTCTCATATCTGTGAGTCTCTGTTTTGTTATATTAATTTGTTTTATTTTTTAGATTCCACATATAAGTGAAATCATATAGTATTTGTCTTTCTCTGGCTTATTTCACTAAGCATAATATTCTCTAGGTCCATCCACATTGCTGCAAATGGCACTATTTCATTCTTTTTTATGGCTGAGTAGTATTCCATATTATATATATACCACATCTTTTTTTTTTTTTCGGTACGCGGGCCTCTCACTGTTGTGGCCTCTCCCGTCGTGGAGCACAGGCTCTGGACGCACAGGCTCAGCGGCCATGGCTCACGAGCCTAGCCGCTCCGTGGCATGTGGGATCTTCCTGGACCGGGGCACTAACCCGTGTCCCCTGCATCGGCAGGCGGACTCTCAACCACTGTGCACCAGGGAAGCCCCATATACCACATCTTCTTGATCCATTCATCTGCTGATGAGCACTTGGGTTGCTTCCATGTCTTGGCTATTGTAAATAGGGCTGCTGTGAACATCAGGGTGCATGTATCTTTTTGAATTAGTTTTCATCTTTTCCAGATATATACCCAGCAGTGGAATTGCTGGATCATATGGTAGTTCTATTTTTAGTTTTGGAGGAAGCTCCATACTGTTTCCATAGTGGTTGCAACAGTTTACATTCCCACCAACAGTGTAGAAGGGTTCTCTTTTCTCCACACCCTCTCCAGCATTTATTATTTGCAGACTTTTTGATGGTAGCCATTCTGACAAGTGTGAGGTGATATCTCATTATTGTTTTGATTTGCATTTCTCTGATGATTAGCCATGTTGAGCATCTTTTCATGTGCCTGTTGGTCATCTGTACATGTTCTTTGGAAAAATGTCTATTCAGGTTTTCTGCTCTTTTTTTTTTTTTTTTTTTAAATGAAAGCTTCTTTCTTTCTTTCTTTCTTTATTTTTCGCTGTGTTGGGTCTTCATTTCTGTGCGAGGGCTTTCTCTAGTTGCAGTGAGCAGGGGCCACTCTTCATCACGGTGCACGGGCCTCTCACTGTCGCGGCCTCTCCCGTCGCGGAGCACAAGCTCCAGATGCACATCTGCCCATTTTTTAATCAGGTTGTTTGACTTTTTGATATTGAGTTGTATGAGCTATTTATATATTTTGGAAACTAACCACTTACTGGTAATATCATTTGCAAATATTTTCTCCCATTCAGTAGGTTGTCTTTTCATTTGGTCAGTATTTCTTTTGCTGTGCAAGTTTTTAAGTTTAATTAGGTCCCATTTATTTATTTTTGCTTTTATTTCTTTTGTGTTAGGAGAGAGATCCCCCCAAATATTGCTACAACTTGTGTCAAAGAGTGTTCTGCCTATGTTGTCCTCTAGGAGTTTTATGGTTTCAGGTCTTAAATTTAGGTCTTCAATTCATTTTGAGTTTATTTTTGTATATGATATGAACAAGT